CAAATCCTGTGTTTTACTTCAATATTACTTACTCTGTAGTTCCTTTATAAGACGGGTTGTTTGTGTGTTTGAAAAGAATCCCATATATTAACATAGTCGATCACTGGACCATATCATTAAGATGAAAGGAACGATTAACATAGAATTTACTGGAAAATTGTACTTGTGGTTGTTCGCTACACTAACAGTTAGATTGAAATTATATTAAAACCAAGAATACAATTGTTTAAAATAGTCTCTTTTTAAAAAAATATTTATTACCTGAGTAACACATTAGCAGTGTAAGCGAAATACATGCATTACAATTCAATTGATTGGAAACATTGTGAAAAATCGATACATACAAGACAAACCTTAGTTGCGTTTTTTTTAACTTACTTTATTTGGTGCAGAACGCAAACAACCTTGTGGAGAAATACTTAAATCTTATCAATCATATAGATGATAGGTAGTATTTAAGATAAAAAAAATAACAATTCATGACACTATTAATAGAATAAAATTGAAACAGAAGGGATAATTACACTTACAAGAACTAGATTGTATTAGTGTGAACGATCTTTAGTGATGTTTGAGGTATTAGAGTTGTTGTCACTCATTCGGTCGCTTACATCACGGAAGTAAATAGAGACAAAATTGGGTTAGGAGTGGTCATCACGACTTGTGATTGTAACCGCAGTATCCAAGGGCAACTGGCTGAGGCCGGTCACACATGGCCTTTTCGAAAGTAGTTTTTGATGTGGTAAGCCCATACTTTACAGACTTCGTATCCAGTGACGAAAATTGGTGCGGTATGATGGCATACTATTTTTAGGGCTGACCTTTTCAATAGTTCCACTTCCTCTGTGAGAATGCAGCATAAGTGAAGATGTTAGTTTCCTGAGGGAACACCTCATCGTCATCATACTCCTGAGCAGTCGACAGTACGACTTCGTTCCCGAACCTTCTGTCCGTTGCTTTTGGTATTAACATTTTCTAGCTGACCTAACTGTTATAGTAGCACCTACAAGAATGAGTGTTCCAGCCAACATAGCTTGACTAGGTCACCATAATATACGAACGCGACTACCGTGTCAAAGTAACAACTACCATCGAGATCACACCAATGTATCGTACGGTTAAGACCAACAACAAAATAACCAAAACTGTTTATTTATTGTAACTTGATAGTTTGACGGATAACGTTATGGTATTTGTAATAATCAGTGTAAAAATGAAACGTCAATAGAAGTAAGCTTTTAATTTTATTTTGATGCTATCAAATAACGTGTAACGTGCGGTTTAGGTTACATAATTAGCTAGTCACTAACTATCATGTATATTGATCAGCATTTCACAAAGTTGAAGTGAATCATAAAGTGTGCGAAATCCTAATTTAAATAATCAATAATTCTAGCAGTTTTACGGTCTTAAAGAATAACATGATCCCGTACATGGATGCGCACTGCTTAAGAGTTCCACAATAGGGTGAAACGGCTGTCCAGTGCTTCCAGGTTTTTAATGATGACCTCACATCAATCAGTTCAGGATCTCAATCAAAAACTTAACAATCTCCACAACCCCATACTGGTAAAAACAATTTCCTTTTAATAAAGTTTTTGCTGAAAGTGTAAATTAACCACTAATTCTTTCAACTAACTTTGTTTATGGTAGACTCAAACAGAATTCATTTTATTAGTGGTTTAGTAAATAATAATAATAATAACCGACCTGATGAATTAAGAATGCTGAAATGGGTAACAACTTTTACGTATTACATCGTAGTATCAATATAGTGACAATGGTAGTTCCCTAATAAGTTCACCTCCGTAACTTTTCAGTAAATTTAATACTAAAAATTTTGTGATAAAGTATTCACGGTTGTGAAAAAGATTCAAAGAGAGAGATCTTTAGTATGAATAAATTCACACGTAGAATAATGCAGCTAACTATGCAGTGATATTCCTAAGATATTAGGATCGGAAAACTGATAACTCAATAAACTTCTTACAATGACCAAACTATAAGAGATTTGATTGCCTCTTTTACGAAATGATATTTAATTTATAGGGCTTTTAACTCATTAGATGTAAAATAATTTCGAAATCCCGTGATCATAACCAGCTTTTAAATACTTTATTATTTTATTTATTTCAACACATAGATATTGGTACAAGGAGGCACCAAATACATATGCGCCACACAAATCTCATCCGATTTGTGTGAGGGCTGTGATACTGACCGGGTGCCCAAACCGAACCAGGTGGTTTTCTCAGGGGGCCACACCCGGAGCCTTCGACCTGAAGGTCTGATCCACAAGGCAATGGAGCATCGTAAGGAGATGCAATCCCATGGTAGCCGGTGACCAACGATTGGTTTATACGCTATTTGTTCCTTCAGGATGCTGGAGTCCATGTGCATCATTGGTTTGGTATGAGGGTATTTCAACTCCCCTAGGTGGACTCTCCATTTCCACCAACCCGGTTAAATACTAATGTACTTCAACTCATTATCACAGCAATTTGAACCATAATCCTTGTGCTGATAACCGAATACAATGTTCATATATTCACTCTTGAGTTATACATCTCTAACTTGAAAACATGTCATTCTTTCGAGTTGCCTTTGTGGTAAATTAGGTAAAGTAAGATTCAAATATTCAATTTCACTGTAGTTGTCCAAGATGAATGGTCACAACGCCTCGATATTTTTTTCATTTATATTTGATGATTAAATTATTAGAAAATATGAAACATCTGATTTCATTTCATTTATGACATAATCTTAGTGAATTAAACTATTTCAAAAGAGTAAAACCTAATGAAGTTATTCAGACTGATCAATTGCATTCTTAAACCTCAATGGGATGATACAAGCCAAACAGTACCAGGTGAATTTAAATTCACCCCATTGCACAAACAAGTGGCTATCAGGACTCAGTAGCTGAGTGGATAACGCGATGGCATTTGAAGCGAATGGTACTGGGTTTGAGTCCCAGAGTGAACATCAACTCGGAGATGCAGGTACATCCAGCTGACGAGTCCCAAAATAGGACAAAACGCGCGTCCTGGATTCCACTGCTAGCCACTATCCATCATTGTTACTCAACACTGACTAAATTGAAGTATATGAAATAGGTTTCAAGTGTTGATGTATATTTCTTCTCCTATCATATAACAGTATTGACTAGTAACACTAACCTTTACATTTATTGTGATGTTATGTAATAATGTTCTGATGTGTTGAACTAATGGATCATATTTAATATGACAATGTTTTCTTTTTTTAGTGACTTAGTATCTTTGTATTTGATATAATGAGGAAGGGGTTAATTGATTACAGTATAAATGAGATACAAAATTGATTTGTTTATTTTTCAAGCATCTTGAACATGTAGGTCACATCTTAAGAAGGGATATCTAGTTTTATGATCATGTAAATATGTGATTATATAATAAATTATTGATTGATTAATTGATGTCAAGCACTACTCAGTTAATGCATACAAATCTGACTGTTAATCAGTATACTCAGATATCCTTTTGATTTAGTCTTGGTATCAAATGAATTCTTATTGATCGTCTCCATGCTCAATCTTGCATTGTGTAGTTTACAGGGTCAAGTAATAGATATCAATCATTTATCATTATAATAAGTGTCAACTAAAGATCTTAATTCTATTGAGTTAATTGCTGATTATCTTGAAACATAATTCATGTAAAAACATTAACAAATGAGTGAATATACGAGGGTTCAATCAAAAATTACTTACTATTAAAGTTAAAGATACTATTTGATGGATTAAACGTTTACTATGATAAAAATAAAAGCAAAGGAGGCATTCTTATAGTTGAAGAACATATGGAACTCAAAACAACTGTCAACAAACATCAAAGTCAGAATCTTCAATACGAACGTCAACACAGTTCTATTGTACAGAGTTGAAACTTAGAGAACTATTACAACCATCATCAAAATAGTACAAGCATTTATAAACAATTGTCTACACAAGATACTCAATATTCGTTGACCTGATACCATCAGCAACAGCCTACTATGGGGGAGAACGAACCAGCTTCCAGCTGAAGAGGAAATTAGGAAAAGACGTTAGAAGTGAATAGGATAATACATTGAGGAAATCATCAAACTACATCATGAGGCAACCGCTAACTTGGAATCCTGAAGGGAAAAGGAAAAGAGGTAGACCAAGGAACACATTGTGTCGGGAATTGGGAGCAGACAAAAAAAGGATGAATAGCGACTGGAAAGAATTGTTCAGGGCAGAGTTTAATGGAGAATGCTAGTGGGTGGTCTATGCTCCTTCATCAGGAGTAACGGACATAAGTGATAAAAATATATAACCCAAATTATATAGAACTAGTGAAAAACGGAATCATCGTGACTGGTCACCTTGTTTAGGCTTTGAATATTAGATCAAACTCATAATGATTGTGTAAGAGGTTCATTCTATTATGTTCTTTATACTGTAATTAGAACTTGTTTTTATAAAAGATGGTACTACAGTATACTACTACATTTACCAATTACCTTATACATACACTAAAAATCAGATTATACACTTTCAAGGCCCACTTTCAATATCTAAGGGAAACAATGTCACATCACCTTTTCACAACTAAAAAGTATGCAGGACTTCGTTAGAACTAGTGATATCAAAGAAAATTTAATATGGAAGAATTCTTAATAAACAAATACATTCAACTAATCCTTGGTTATTTCTCAGTATGTATAAAGACATGTTTTGGTGGAGTTCTGTTCTCTGAGCTGGATGGTTTGGTCGTGGAGCTTTCATCATCTGAAGTTTGTGCTGATGATGTCGTTCAGAAGAACGATGAAAGCTCCACGACCAAACCATCCAGCTCAGAGAACAAAACTCCACCAAAATCATCCACCTGAGCTACAAATCTTCTCCACCATCTCAACGACATGTTTTCTTATACAGATCAAAATAAAAAAAACAAACAAACAAATCAGTAAAGAATGAAAAAAAGATCACCTACTTTTGGTAATCGTTTCTTATCATCATTCAATAGTCTAGAATTTAACATATCATTTTCGTTAGGTAAAGGTTTCAAATAAATTTTTTGCGAACCAACTGAAGATGACAATGTTTGGACTAAATCAAATTTGATATGAACAATAATAAATAAACTATGCATATGATAACAAGAGCATACGTATCTACAAATGAATAAGTTCAGTTTGTTTAAGGCAGAAGGAAGTGAAAACAGAGAGAGAAAAAAAAGTGAACAAAGAAATAGATGAAAGTCAGATTGAACATCATTTTCAAAATCGATTAATATTTTTGTACATTTTCCTGAAATATATATTTGACATTTTCTTTGTTCAGTTGGGCTCTAAGTGGTCTTTCTCAGTCTAGTAAGATAAACAAACTCTTACTCGCCCTGAAACATGATCATAGTCTAGATATGTGTTCCCGACCGTAGCTGCTACCTTGATATGGTGCTTGAGCTTGCCTATCAAGATGACTCAACTGAGCAATATTAGTTGGAATAAGTGTTCCTTTAGATTCTACCACATCAGACAGGTCGGTTGAAGAACCGTAAGACTAAACGCAGAAAATTGAGGACCGAGAGCGGAGTCATACTGCTAACTATAGAGAAGTGTGACGGCAGTAAGGTGATTCCCTCGGACAATCAACATCTCCAGCGAAGGTGCCTTCCCATAGAGGAAGAAAGAAGTTAGAAAAGGTGGACCCTGAAAATGTCATACCTCACCTTACTCCATGAATTTCCATTTCCGACGGTAAGGCCTTTTAAAGTGTGGAGCTAATACATCAAAAACCTACCATAACAAGGCTGTGCACGACCAGCTCCAAGCAGTTGTTCCTTGAGTTCTGCGGTCACGCTCCCAAGTCACTGAGACCACGATGAGCTCAGCTTTTTTTCAAGTCCCTCAAGAAGAAATATCTTTCCAAGATGTGGGCGACCGGGAAAGGAAAACCATTATCATACCCCTGTCAGCACCCGAGATCATCTTGTTGGCGATTGAATCCCTCTCTCATCCCTTAATAATTCTCCCATCCGCAAGACTAACTCTTTATCTCTTTATCTTTATAACCATGCGCCACTAATTCTAGTGGTTTGAGCTCACGAAATGTTGCTCTTGGTTTCCCGAAACCACGCTCTAAACTACATGTTGGAGCTTTTAGAGTCCGGACCTTGTGTCCGGTAGGAAAACAGGTTTCTTCGGCTACAACTCTGGAATCTCGGGCCATCGATGTATGCTGTATCAACGAAACGCATGTACAGGACTCAATTACGGTCATTCATTTGGCCTGATCTTGTCAATATAGAGAACGGGCACAATTTACCTTTTGAGTATCTAGAGACTCCACTGGTACTTCCTGTAGACTCGATGGTGTGGGTACAGAATTGAATTCAGAAGCTGAACAGGTTCCAATAGACAATCGCTTGTGCACTGTCGACCAAACGGGACAGTAAGGACTCAAAAAGATAGGAATACACGCCGCTGCCTTTTCTTCGTATCTGTTTACGAAGTTGAGAATGAATTTTATAGGAAACTGTCCAACTTCCTTCAAAAGGTTAAATGCTCTGATTTATTAGTAATGTCAGGTGGTTTTAATGCAAAAATAGGTAAACTAAATCAAACCCAAAGACAATTAGACGCATATTACGGTGTTAAGGCTCAGCGGACAGATAATGGAGACCGTCTGTTGTAAATACCTTTAGATAACCATTTACCTCAGGAAAACACAAGGAGAAACATCAACTGACGTGACGACCTCTACAATCGACTCAAATAGACCACACTGCCGTTAGCAATCGTTAGAGGAGCTCAATTGAAAACTGTCGCTCATCATAAAGCACATGTTTGCACACGGATCATACAGTAGTTCGAGTACGTATTTGTCTGCAACTTACTAGACATAGAAAAGCCGCAGTGAGAACACTCCTTAGAGCCCAAAGTAATTATTAAAAAAGTTAAGAAAATATTTCAAGAACTAGGGAAGGAGCCAGTCCACCGTGAAAATGACACCCAACCCGAGGTAGCTTGGGATGATATCCACAAAGGGTATTAAAAATGCGGCTGTTAGTGAAAGTATCTCGGAAAAAGATGGGACTATTATTCACTCTCAGTCCAGTAGATTGAACCGAAGGGCAGAACACATTAGGGAACAGTTCAATTGGTCCTCAAAAACACTTCAGTTACCCACTATCTCCAAGCAACCCGAATGGCAAACTGATGTAAGTCCTTCAACTATTAGTGTGGTTGAAAAGGTTATAAATAATCTCAAGTGAGGGAGAGTAGCACGGCCTGATGGACGAACCCCCGGGATTTTTAAGGGTAGTGGTTCAGTTATGGCAGTCACATTACCTGAAATCTGGGAATTGGATGTAATCCTATATGACTGGTCTCGATCAATGATCGTCTCATTTCATAAGAAAAGACGAAAATCATCCTGTGACAGTCACGGAGGAATCAATTTAACTAATATAATGTCTAAAATATTAACCTAAATGATATTTCGACGTCTGACTAAAGCTTGAAAAGAGCAAACCCAAGAAAACCAGAATTATTTCAGACCTGGATGTCGATGAATAGAGCAAATATTCACCCTTAGGCAAATTTTGGAACACAGACACTTTTCGACATCCAAATATAGTTGTATTCTTTCACCTAAAGGTGGGGTTCGACTGAGTTGATCGTGAGGTTCAGTAGCAACATCTGTCACGGAAAGACTTACCAAAAAAGTACATTAACCCTGTACAGGCCCTCTAATCGAACACTACTAGTGGAGTCAGACCTTATGGAGAACTGTCATCGGAATTAATTACTTCAAGTATAGTTTGTCACGGTTGTCTGCTTTCCCCACATTTACTTAACTTTGTCATGGACATGCTTTTAGAGATAACACTTTGGTCGTCTGGCTTTTCAGGAATTAATCTTCTACCAGCAGATTCACTTGTTAATTTGTAATACGCAGATTATATAGTTCTGTTTGGTGAAGTCGTTGACAAATGCAGTCTTCTGATCACTGTAAGCAACAATGCAAACATGTTTGGGATGCGGTTCTCTCCCTCTAAATGTAAAATTTTATTTCACCATTGGTTTGGGTCACCGCTTGAAATAATGGTAGAGAGTGAAGTAATTGAAGGCATTGATCTCTTCATTTATCTTAGGCGTTTCATCAGTACAGATGGTCTAGTGTCTAACAAAATATCGGCATGGATTCAGAAGGTTCGATTGGCCTCCACCCACTTGTGTCACTTGTGGTGTAGGTGAGATATCCATTTGCCAAACAAATGACTAGTTTACTGCTCAGCAGGAATCAACTTCCTACTTTATGGGTGTGAAACGGACATTAAGAACAGAGGATATTTGTAGATTGCTGGTATTCAATCATAGGTGTCTTCGAAGCATTGCTTGTGTGCTTTTGGCCCACAGATTAAGCAGTGCCTGGGTTAGGAATATAGTACCAGCCAAATATGGTAAATCGATTGATGAGGTAGCAAATCTTCATCAACTGAGATGGTTGGGATATGTTATATATGCTCAACTACGGCCTACCTCGACGGGCGATGCTGTATGGTGTAGTAGTAAGCTGGAAGCCAGCGGTGATCAAACCAAAACATGGCATCAGTCCATGAAGTCACTGATAATTGGACTTAGCCATGTCATGAGTGCAGACTGCCTGGTTTGGAGCCGCGTGATCATCGTAACCTATGGTTAGAGACTTTGAATGACATTGTTCAAAGTCGTTTGCAATGGCGCAGGTTTATCATTCTTCGTCTCCCCCAAATCCTGAGATTACAAACTCCTCATAACATTTGTTTTTATTTTGCTAATTTACATTTCCTTTTCCAGTTGTACCTTCGATGCCCAATCTTTCTTATTACCACTGATATTGTTACTGCCTCTACTATTCTGAGATTTGGCCTGACAACTTTATCTCGGTGTGCTAAAGGGGTTTTGGCAAGTTGAACTGATGTACATACGTACAGGCTCTACGTTGTGACTGACTGAGACGTGTGTTGCAGAACGAATCGAAGTCTTCCATCGATAGGTGATGGTGATATGGTCTAGTTGCATCCATCATTGAATCGATTTCAGGAATTGCTATTTAAAAAAGTCTATTTATGTCTAAAGTTGGCGATTACTAGATATGAATTATTGCCTGAGAACAGCTGTATCAGACAGAAGCCGTCATGTTCGCTGGGTAAGAACATCGTAAGACCCGACTAAGTGTTTTCGGTTTAGATTAACTTACCCACTTGTATACTGAAATCGCCTATTGCTATTACTACATCTGATTATTTAACTTTTGGTCAGAAAGCTTCTTATGAAAGTCAAAGTTTTCGTCATTAGAGCTGTAGTCAGTGAAGGTGTAGGTAGAGCTCACTAATATCAGCCAGTCAGTCAGCTACAACGTAGGGTCAGGTACATATATGCATCGGTCAAAGTTACAACAACAGCTCGGTGTAGCCCCATGAGAAAACTACCTGCTTCGGTATGGGCACCCGGGCAGTATCACAGCCCACACACAAATATAATGGTAATGAAAATGGTGGTATTTACTGAAAACTCTATTCTCCCTTCGATTTACAGTCAAACAATTCACATTATTATTATTATTATTATTATTATTATTATTATTATTATTATTTACTACGTCATTTATTCACTCTCTTTTATCCCCACTTTATGTATCCTTATTTTTCGACTTCTACAGCGGCTCGTCTTTGGTAGAAATTCGACTGTATCTAAACGTTCTCGAGTCACTGTCCGGTTGAAAGTTGTATGTTACCACCGAATACGAGGACTGAAGCAGTTTTTCTGAAACCACGTGCACCATTCAAACTGGCTGCCTTCAACGTTCGCACACTTATGCAGGTCGGACAACAGATAGGGCTGGCTATGTCTTTAAAAAGTCTTAGTATCGACGTTTGATGTCTATTCGATACCCGTATTCAAGACTGGTGAAGTACTACAAATTCGCTCTTCAACTGTCGCTTCGAAAAGCTTGTTTTACGTGCGTTTATCCGGGGACCCTGTGACATCTTCGTCTGGTCTTGCTGGCGTTGGTGTCGCACTAAGCGCTAGAGCTGAGGCAGCACTTATCGATTGGATCCCCATTAACAGTCAATTATGTGCTGTTAGATTAGAAAGTTCCATCAAAGTGAGAAACGATGTCTTTTCGTCATCTCCGCCTATGCCCCGACAGATGGCAGCCCGGATGCAATCAAGGATGAGTTTTACCACCAGTTATCTGTTCTTCTCCAGAAAGTGCGTTCGACAGATATTGTAGTACTAGCCGGAGACTTGAATGCTCAGGTCGAGCGACTAGGCACAGAAGAGAGTCGTTTAGGTGGCCGATGGGGACTTGCTGGTCGCAGGACAGATAACGGAAACCGCCTACTGCAACTGTGCACAGACCACAAGCTGTTTCTGGCTAGCACTAACTCTCGGCACAGTCATCGCCGATATGCCACCTGGCGTCCTTCCTCTGCATCTCAAGCCTGGACTCAGACTGATCACATCGCGATCAGCTACCGCTGGTATGGTTGTGTAAAAGACTTCCGCTCCTTTTGGAGTACCTATCTAGACTCTGATAATGCCCTGCTCTGCGCCAATCTGACCTTACTTTTCAGTGGCCAACGAAATGACCGCCACTAAAGGACTGATGTCAGCAAGTTGGTTGCAACTAAGTATCGAACCGAGCTAGCTTCTAGGCTATCTACCATTCCACCGAAAAGTATAGATGAGCATTGTTTGCAACTTCAAGACGCCATCAAAATGGCGAGTAAAGCCGCTTGCGGCTTCGCGAAACGTCCCGCTTATAAGCACTAGGTTTCTTCTGGTTCCTTACAACTCATTGAAGCCCGCCGATCTACTCCGGGTAACCCTGAGTTTGACCACAAACGACGACTGTTAAGTAATGAAATTGAGCAAAGCTTGCGTAAGGACCGAGAAACCTGGTGGTCGGGGCGTGCTAATGAGCTGGAAGCAGCAGCTCAAACTAGAAGTCAGTTACTTTATGGACTGATGCCACGTTTTGGTTTGGCCGCCCCTTTCTTCCGACCATTCCCAACACTATTCAGCATTAGATGGCGGTTGGAGGTAGTCAACAGGAAACCCTGGACCCGAGTTTCGTACTACTTGGCACTCGTCAGCAAGGTGTAACTGTAATCTTGAGGGAACTGGTGCTCCCTGGCGGATTCGATCTCGTGTCACCCAGCTTCACAGTCAGAGACGTTACCACTGAGCTATCCGAGCCGTGACTAACCTCCTGTAGGACTGAGATGTAATCACAATTGATTGATCACTGGGTAGTGATCAATGTCATGCTTGTCTAGTCCTACAGGAGGTTAGTCACGGCTCGGATAGCTCAGTGGTAACGTCTCTGACTGTGAAGCTGGGTGACACGAGATCGAATCCGCCAGGGAGCACCAGTTCCCTCAAGATTACAGTTACACCTTGCTGACGAGTGCCAAGTAGCACGAAACTCGGGTCCAGGGTTTCCTGTTGACTACCTCCAACCGCCATCTAAATCTCAATACATAGTGCCCGCAGTGTCGAGTCACCTAGACTGGTGGCCACATTGCAACATGATCGATAGCATTCGATCTGCACTAATAAGGACTAGACAAGCATGACATTGATCACCACCCAGTGATCAATCAATTGTGACTACTCAGCATTGCACGTCGTGGTAATCGGTGTTCAGGCATACGTAACACATGGCCCAACCATCTCAATCGGTGAAGATTTGCAACCTCAACTTATTTACCGTCATTCCCTAATGCCCTGCATCTGACCTCACATATACTTACCCGGTGATCCCAGAAGACATTGGCAATATTTCTAAGACATTTGTGATGAAATACTAATAGCTTACGAGTATCTTCTACTGTTAATGGCCACATTTCGCAGCCGTAAAGTAGAACAGAACGAACTGCTGCGCAGTATACTCGTCCCTTTATTGGTAGACAAATATCTCACCTTCACTATAGGTGACGTAAGTTGGCAAAAGCCAAACGAGCTTTTTGAATCCGTGCTGAAATTTCGTCAGGTACCAACCCATTATGGCTGATTAGACTTCCAAGATAAGTGAAGTTGTCGACGCGTTCGACTACTTTACTCCCTATCCTTAGTTCAGATGTTGACGCAGGCCAGTCCTGAAGCAACGGCTCACTAATGTAAATCTAAAGTGTATTTTAACTATCAATACTTTTCGTACATATGACACCTCCGACTGAAATGTGCAATTCAGAACAGAAGTGTATTTTTTTGGGAACTTGTAAGATAATACACTTGAGGGGAAATGAAGCAAGGCTATATATATTAGATTACGAATACAATCACTAGGATCTCTTACCAGCATTAGTTATCAAGTAATTAGTGATGAGGTTAAGCAGTGACCTTGATACGAAAACATCCAAGTCTCTGAATATACTTCAGACAAATATTAACTGGATCAGCTATAACAACAGCAGTACATGATGACTTCATTATCTCGCTGCATAACTTTGACTAGCGTAATAGCAATGTGTGAGAAGTTTATGACAACGTCTAAGCCAAGGTGCGATTAATTTGCAAAACGGTATACGGATCTACATAGCTGGTTGATTCCGAGTCATATAATAAAAACCCTCTGATTTTTCGACTAATAATGACTAGATATTCAAAAACGTCTGAATTATCAACTAGAATCCAATATTTAATCAATATAAAAAAGAAGCTTACGTGAATTATTTAAATCTTCACTGGTTACAAAAATGCCATGACAATTCAGCTGATTTTTTCTTGAAGGTTTAGGATGACCACTGTTGTCATCATTGTTCGTGTCGTAAACATGAAGCATAATATTATATGTATAAAACAATTTATCAGTTTTAGGTGAGCATATTAATGTGATTATTAAATATATCCAAATGTATTACCAATCAAATTGGTGATCTGTAACTAGATAAAGTGAATAGAAAATGGAAATGTTCAATTAACGATAAGTAAAAGTACCTATATATGTTGTGGCTTTAACTAACGTCAGTTTATGACAGTGCAAAGAGGTGGTTGTATGCTTTTAAGCTACTGAAGTGCGCCTGAATAAAGATCACTAACACAGCTTTAATAAATGATTCCAGACTACATTCCTGTCCAACCAGCTGAAGGCAAACATGATGTATGGCAGTGTCAGGTCACCTAAAAGCAACGAAACATGATGAACACATCCAAGATAAGAAAACTAGCCGGACCACCGATCGCTTATGATATGTACGAGTTTTACACAATTTACTGAATATTACCGTAGCCAGCTTTCTAAATGCAACTGGTAATAAACAGACTTACGCCCTGATAATTACTCCATACACCATGTAGGGATCTGTAAGAGGTTTAAACACTTGAAGCCTACCGCGCCTCCTTACACAATACAGTGAGCGTCCTGAGAACACTACCATACATTCTTTTACAGTCGTTTGTGGGTCTTTTAAATACAGAGACCTATAGCTTCTTACCACTAGTTTCTTCTGGACATCCGCTTATTTGAATTGATATTCAGCAGCTAGGTAACGTAGAAAAATGGTTAAAATATCTGTAGTAATTACCTATTTAAACTAATATCCTAAGTTTTGTGTTTAGCATTCAGTAACTATATGATGACTGTTTGTCGTGCCAACGACCGCAGTTTTTCAACCATAAGGCATCTTAGTAAGAATGGTCCAGGTAAGTTAAAAAAACTTCCAGCAGCTGTTAGATGAAGAAGACTTTCAACCCATAAGGATATTCTGAACACCGGAGTCCTCAGTACTTACAAAAGCCTTTAATCTGAGCCGTTTTGATAAATGCAGATTACCTGTTTGAGATTCATGTGATGACTGTGATCAGTGGTTAAGTTTTGATGACATGACTCCGAATTACCCACGTACTTGCTGTCGGATACACGTATTTACCACTATTAGTATTGAATGGATTCTTATATAAATTAAAGATCAAAAGTCACGAACTATCGCAGATCACGAAAATAACGCTAGATAATTTAAACCTATATCATTTACATCAGCGGTGGGTAAGGTTCAATTAGCTAGTAAATACCCAATTTATCAACTTTAAAATCCTAAAGCTGCTGATATCAAAAGGTTGTATATAGTATCTTGCTACGGTAGAAAAATCCCCTCTTTAAAAACGAAGCCCAAATCCTACCAAACAAGAACTCTGAGTATCTATAACTTAGTAAAATAGTTTGGCCCAAACAACCACTAATTCGGAAATCGGTTTCAAGTTATGAGTGGGTGTTGGTTAGGTATTCAACATTATTCTTAGGTTCATTTAAGAAAGATGTGGTCATATATAATCACGTGGCTGTCTTACAGAAGCGAATGAGTTTAAAAAGTGCATATGAAAAACTTACAATGGACGACTGATAAGCGTAGATTGACAGAGATATAGAAACAAATACTTTGAGATGAGCTTGTGAAGATCAACTGACATATTTGGGTCAACTCCTCAATGTTACAATACAATCCCAATTATATGTCACAGTCCTATGTGTGTATTCTACCCACTCGATTGAACTAATCCTAGCGAATATGATTGCTAATTTTTCGTATGTATATATAAGTGCGTTTGTTCTAAGCCAGTGGAGTTGCTACGACCAGCAGCTATTATATCACCGGACGATAAATTATGTAATTGCAACACGAAAAACTATAAGATCAGATTGTGTAGAAGAGAAGACAACGATTAGGATAAGTTCACGCAAACAATGTGAACAGGCAGAAGTCTGAGGATAACGGATAAATGAAGCTGATATGAGATGAAGTGACCATATATTAACCAATGATAATGACTATGATATAGTAATGATAAGGTATAATACGCGTCAGGTATAGCTGTTCCAGGCGAAGGACAGTAAGCTATGGGTGCGAAAAAAGTTTACGAGCTACCATTTGAAGCTGTACAATGAGGGATATCGTCGCGTCGGCTGACAAGTAGTAAAGAATGTGAGACGTTACTTGGACATTAGCTCTTTCATGTACGAATCGTTGTTAGTTGTCTCGTGAAGAGCAATGTAGAGGTTCGGGTCGAACGTTTTTATATAAGTGGTGGAAAAGGCATAATTTGGACTACTTTAAACTTGCATAAAATGGCTAGACAAATAACGATAAGTCAAGACCCGTATATAACACTGATTGAGTCCGATAAACCAAATTAACCACGTGATTTTTCGCAGTTCCCTAACGCTAACAGTCAGACAAATGGGACTGTGCTATATATTTATTAAATTGATATCACATACTTAGATCATTTTATAATTTTACTGCACGTGAAAGAAGAAAATGACAGCTACCTCCGGATACTAAGTCAAAAATCCTCCACAACCTTGCAGTATAATTTGGCGCTCAAACACTGAACCTCAATAATGAACGGGCAAAATCCAGACTCAACTCCCGTACATCTCAATTATCCGCAAAAAAAACTCGATTACTTGTGTTATTCCTTTTCCGGAAAGTTTGTGCAAATGTCTTGTTTTCTTCCGAATTAATTGATTTGATATGTGGTCCATTTAATGACCTTCGACGACATCTTATAACGCCTGAGTAAATTATCCTAATCCTTGCAGTTATGCTACCACCCACATTTCTGGTCTTGATTATCGTTGTCTGCTGACCTTGAACGATTTGTGAGTTCTTGGTGCGTGTTTGTCTGTGTACTCATATTCTGTTGGTTGCCTATCCTCTTTCATCTCCGTATTTTATACATTGGCAATATTTATACACAGACACTTCAAAAAGTGTACTGCTGCATCCTCAGTTCTCATTTGTTTCGCTTTACTTGTGTGCTAAATGAATGTGTGTAGTGTTCATAAAGTAAACACTGTCGTAGTTGAAGGACAGAAGAAATAGTAAGCAGTATATGTATTTCAATTCCATCATGTATCCATCTTCTTTGATTAGTTGACGATAACAAAAATCCTAGTCTTCTAACAGTAAGGTCCAGAAGCTGTATTCTTGATGAGGAAACCTGTATTTTATGGTTACTCATCTCTCTTTCCATTTGAACCATCCAGATATATCATCTGGTTTGTTCTGACCAAGCTAAAAGAAAGAGAGAGGTTTCAGTAAATTCAAAGTCATTTTTTCTTGTCTTACACACAGAAATTGAATTACTCCAATTTCTGAGCTTACATAAGTCATCGAGGTCCAGCTTTTCAAGTCTTTATGTAAATAGTAAGAGACGTATCACGAGAATTCTTTCAGCACTTGTCCTCCGCAGATTTTATGGAGAATTGAGTCTACTTTTCGAAAATCGGCATTCTGACTGGCATTCCATTTTCTAATTAGACCTTATTAGCGTGATATGTCCATCTATAAACGAGTGAATGCTCTACCTAACTTCTATACATTTTAAAAACCTTTGATTACTGTTCAATGACAGTGACCTTTGTTTATTAAGACCATTATCTCCAGATCATTCTACGATAGCACTAAATGCTTTGTATCGTCTCCTATGTTAACGTCACTGACGTATGTTTCTTCAGTGCGTATGCAGAATTAATCGGTTTCATTCATAGACATTAACCATAGTTTAAACCAGCATACCAGACTTTTCGGTCAGCCATAAGTGCACAAACATCGCCTCTGTCGATTATTCGTCAATTTTGAAGCCTTCAGTGTAGATCAGCAGCTGAGGCTTGACATTAAGAAGGCAATCATATAAATAGTCTCAAACTTAGAAGGCCTGAAGCGGAGCCTTGCTGTGCTGTTAATCATCATTATTAACAGAAAATATCTGGGCTGTTCATGCTTTAAACAGCCAGCCACCGGCTAACACTATGCGTCCCGGTGCAACTTGTTAGAATAATTTGGTGCAAAAACGCATCCTTGCATTTACTTATTATGTCCGGAAAACTTGCAGCCAGCGAGTTATGGATATGGGTTTTGTGAACAGAAGCACTGACCCCTCATTTGACCAATAGACCTCACCGGCCCGTAGTGGAATTGACTGCAATATTTCCTTACATCGGTCTATTATTAACGATAGTCATGACTAGTGGAACTTGCACACTTCTAAGGTACAAACCGACTCGATTACTAGGTGAATTTATAGAATATATCCTTACCATAACATGCATACTTACATCAAGCCAAAAAATTGGTGATCTGTAATGCTCCAGTTATGTCGCTGACTCTTAGAAGCCTACCCGATATTTGGACTCGGTATTTATATTTTCTCTTATTCATGTGTTCTAACTTTCTTTGTCAGAAAACACTGCTGTATTCCTTGTCACGAACCGATCATAGAAGGCGGTTGTCACAGACTCAAGTCATATAATTGGCCAAGTTCGGTGGTAAATTCAACTTCTGACGGGTTCACACATTTACATAAATATTTTGGAAAATGAAATTTCTGTTTTAATACGTTTTCGCCCACAAGATGTCTACACTGTGTCTATTTCCTTCAAGATTGCCAATCCATTATGAAAACCGAAGACTTATGGAGAAAAGAACCCTTATCACTTGTACTTGTACCCTTCTATTTTGTACCTAACTATTTTATACAGATAGTGGATCAATTCCTAAGGTTTGACTGACTTTAAATATTTTCTTCTTCGAAGTAGACTTGTAGAATTATGGTCTACTTCGATATTAGTATTATTAATAATAATAGACTTAAACCTAAAATTGCAGATTTGTTATGATGTAACTGCCTGATCTATAAGATCTTACGTAGGAGTCACGTCATTGTCTACACCAACTCATTGCATCGTAACAATGACTAATATATGACGGATAACTCTACAGAGTATCCTTTGTTATTGACTTGAGGGTGACCCAAGAGTTAGGTGAGTAAGCACCTGATATC